TCAGTGTAAAATGATTTTTAAGGTTTAATAATTCATATGCCGAATTAAACCTATTTTTCGTTATTATTAGAAACAGTACACACAGAGTTTAATAGCAATGATTTATAATTATTCACTCGGAAAAGTCGCATTTCACTCTTTTAATATTTGTTAATTAATTTTTCTGTTTTGTATTGTAAAGATTAAAAGTATTTAACCATTCAATGTTCGTTAATGAATACGAGGTTTTAAGTATCTTTAATGTAAAATGTTTACATGTACATAAGTCAGAGCTTAGCGTAAACGTAAACGTAAATCTTTTCGTCTTGTCAAAAAACGTTCCGCATTTTGAAACAATCCTATCAGATTTTGCGTTTATCCTATCGTGTAGATCGTTTATCAGGTCTATCGTGTTTTGCGTTTATCGTGTTTTGCGTGTATCGTGTTTTGCGTTTATCGTGTTTTGCGTTTATCCTATCGTGCATGTATCCTGTCCTATCGTGCGTGTATCCTATCGTATCGTGCGTGTATCCTATCGTATTGTGCGTGTATCCTATCGTATCGTGTATCCTGTAAAGAATAACGATGCGGGTACTGTATCCAAAAAAAAACACATTTTTTTTGCATTGTTACTGCTATGTAGTAGTCTAAAAATGTTATTGCTATTTCTGTTCTAAGTTCTTCAGATAAACAGTAACAATCTTAAGTTCTTATAATTAGTTGCCTGTAAAGTTGACTTGATATTAAATAATTCATTTTTAACCACACAAATATAGATCTCTAACCCCACAAATATAATAAAGATCTTTAACCCCCAAATATAGACCTTTAACCCTACAATATACCATTTGTTTGAATTCCTAATGAAACCTCTCAAGTCACCACTGTACTATCAATAACCCAACAAAGCAAAATGATAACCCCGCACCTTCCGTAAAATGCACAATGTACCTCTCAACTGTATAGCTGTCCGTCTGTCTGTCAGTCCGTAAACTTTTCACATTTTCGACTTCTTCTCAAGAACTGCTGGGCCAATTTCACCCAAACCCTTGGGTGAAGGGGATTCAAGTTTCTTCAAATGAAGGGCCACGCCCTTTTCCAAGGGGAGATAATCATGAATTTGTTAAAAATTAATGGCATTTTTAAAAAATCTTCTTCTCCAGAACAGCTAGGCCAGGAAAGATGAAACTCGTGTGAAAGCATCCTCAGGTAGTGTACATTCAAGTTTGTTCAAATCATGACCCCCGGGGCAAGGGTGGAGCCAAAATGGCCGACCCAAGTTTTACATAGGAATATATAGGAAAAATCTTTAAAAACCTTCTTCTCCAGAACCACTTGGCCAAGAAAGATGAAACTCCTGTGGAATCATCCTCAGGTAGTGCAGATTCAAGTTTGTTCAAATGATGACCCCCGGGGGAAGGGTGGGACCAAAATGGCCGACCCAAGTTTTACATAGGAATATATAGGAAAAATCTTTAAAAATCTTCTTCTCCAGAACCACTGCGCCAGGAAAGATGAAACTCATGTACAATCATCCTCAGGTAGTGTAGATTCAAGTTTGTTCAAACGATGACCCCCGGAACAAGGGTGGGGCCAAAATGGCCGACCCAAGTTTTACATAGGAATATATCGGAAAAATCCTTAAAAATCTTCTCCAGAACCACTGGGCCAGGAAAGATGAAACTCATGTGCAATCATCCTCAGGTAGGTAGATTCAAGTTTGTTTAAATCATGACCCCCGGGGCAAGGGTGGGGCCAAAATGGCCGACCCAAGTTTCACATAGGAATATATAGGAAAAATCTTTTAAAATCTTCTTTTCACAACCACTGGGCCAGGAAAGGTGAAACTCATGTGGAATAATCCTCAGGTAGTGTAAATTCAAGTTTGTTCAAATGATGACTCCCGGGGGAAGGGTGGGGCCAAAATGGCCGACCCAAGTTTACATAGGGATATATAGGGAAACCTTTCAAAATCTCCTTTTCAAGTTCTTCAAAGCTATGATTAGTGATATTTATATGGAATCATCCTCAGGTAGTGTAGATTCTAGTTTGTTCAAAAGATGGACGCCTGGAGGGGGGGGGGGGTAAATTTAAGTCTGATGTTCTCAGGTGAGTGCTGTGGCCCCTGGGCCTCTTGTTAAAGGTATCCTGGATATAAGTAATAAAAACTGAAATAAATGTAAGCCTAGATATTATCAAAAACTATATTTATGAAAGGTAACTATGTAAAGGCTGGTGTCTGTGCACTCTGTGATCTATTTTGGTTTACCCGAGAGATCTAAATTTCTGTCTCTGCGTGAGTTTTTATTAGCCAATGAGCTTGGCCCTTTACATTACTGATCATCTGTCTGTATATTGAGGATCAGGCAGGCAGGCCAGTCTAAAGCAAAATCGCCAAGTTCCCCTGTCTATAGCGGCCATTTTGTCCTATCACGTGAGCTGATCTGGATTCAACTGATTCCCGATATTTGTTACTAATGTAAATAATTGGTCAAGCGGTGCAGGATCGTGAATTAAAAGTTACAAATAGTCTTTACTGAATACCAATACTAACTGAGAACGTCTGACAGTTACTTGTCTGTTTATTATACAACAATCCATATACATGTATTTTAAGAAGATAAATGTACAGAAGTTAATTTTACAAATCAAGTTTAGATGAAATAATATTTGATTGATTGGTTTTCTTCATTGTATGAAATATTTATTCCTTACACACGACAATTTGTCTCTGCTTTGAAGTGGGATAAAGCTTTTACCTTAAGATACAATATACAAATATTTTATTATTTTTCTGGGATTCATTGAATTCTGTTTGAATTCATCCACAAAAGTCATGCGGAATAAAAAAAAATAAAAGTGATATCACTAATGTCCAATACCTAACTTCCTTGTATATTTCTTGTGAAATACATAATATAAACACAAATGAACTGGCATCCTTGTATATAAATAGTCCTTTAAAAAGATGACCTTTTATCCAAAGGTCACCTCTATATAAAGGTCACTTTTAATGTCTCCCGTAGGTGACTGCTTAATACAGGTTTGACTGTAATTATGATAAGATATTGTGCCTCTTTCATTTTATTATAGACTAGTTATTAGCTTTTTAATACAATTAATAAAACAGACAGAAAAGAAAATATGAAATCAAAAGGATATCTAAATGATAATCTGTATCATCTGACATTAAATTAATTAAGGGAATCCATTGACAAACTCAGTATTCTCATTTCTGTTGCTGTTTGTATTTTGTGGGTTGGTTCCTGTCTGAGAGATTGTTGGTATGAGTATAGAGCAGCCTGGAGGTTCCCTGTCACCTGTTGACAGATCCCCAGAATCTGCCACGATATGTCTCTGTATTGTAAAGGTATAAGCCGTATATACGAGCTGTGTCTGTGACGTAAAGGTATATACTGTCCCTGATCATAGTGAACTAGGTTCTGTAGATCATCTAGAGCTGTTTGTACTCGCACTGTGTCTACATGTCTGTAACACACGATCTCTAGCATGTGTAACAGGATAAAGGGTGGTACAATCAATAAAAGAAAATGGTTCTGTAGAGCAGACTGTTGTTCAGGAATCAGTTCACTGATGTAAATGATGTCATTGTGAAGTCTGATATGTAATGCCAGAGCCTGTCTCATCTTTGTAGACCAAGACTGTATCCCTACAGCCTCAGTATACATCTCTGTATCTACATTTGACCTATATATCACATATGGCTGTGCTAACTTGACCTTGATTATCTCTATAATAGATAAAGCTTCTGTGTATCTCAGTGTCTTGTAATAATACATGGCTATGTACAGCATGTATGTAATACAACCAAACTTGGCTGCTAATTTCAGCATGTGACAGGACATTTTGTCAGCTCTATAACTCAGTTTGTTGTCAGGTGTGTATGTTTCCATGTGCAATACTAGATGCTGTCATGAGACAGTAATACCCGCACTAAGGTGTTTGCCTCTAAATGCACACTTCTTCATATTGGGCTTTACCAAGGGAAAAGTCAGTATAATTCAATAATTTACATAATACATGTATTCATCAAATTGAGCATAATATGCTCAGGTGACCATGTAGCTGCAGATCTGCAGCGTTATGGTTTTATATATTTGACTTTGACCATAACGCTACAGATCCCCATATGCAAAAAAGGTGCAATTTACGGCGCAATATTTTTTGCGCACTCTTGGGCAGTTTTTCTCCACTTTCTAGCATTGGTCAATCAACTACCTTTCACTCCCTAATTTTAGACACATTCTGTAGCCAATATGTATATTTTGTCCACCTCCCAGCCATTTAATGATTTATAGTCATCTCTACAGGCAAAAAACTCGCTTGATGTGAATTTTCAGCAATCTAACAAATAATTTTAATCAAGCGAGTTTATCACGTGTAGAGACGACTATAAAAGGATTGGAGATGGATAAAATATACAGATTAGTTAAACAATGTGCCTAGAATTAGGGAGTGAAAGGTAGTAAATTAACCGATGCTGGAAAGTGGAGAAATTCTCCCCAGAAGTGCGCAAAACATATTGCGCCGTAAATTGCACCTTTTTTGCATATGGGGATCTGTAGCTTTATGGTCAAAGACTAATACATGTATATAAAACAATAACGCTACAGATCTGCAGCTAGTGACCATGTGACCCATGGGACTCCATCTTATTGGTATTTCATATTCATAATTGATTACCAGTCGGAAATTAAACAACAGAATTAAATTAATGATGTAAATTAGGTTTGATAAAGGGGGAGGGGGGCTGTATAAATTTTTGGCACATACTGTATAAGTGGAAATTTTAGCGAAACGCAAATTTAGCGATTTCTACCTAAAATCTGGTATTTTATTTTTAGCGAGAAGTAATTTTAGCGATTTTAAAATGCTAATTCAAGAAGCTTTTACAAATGATAAGCAATTAATTTTCAGTGGTATTCAATTTTAGCGATGTCAGCACCCTCGCTAATAATGCCAAAATTAAATCCTCGCTAAAAATTCTACTTGTACGGTAATTGGAACTTTTTAAATCTATTTTCTAATATAGATTAACAAAAAATAATATTATTCAAATTAGTGTAAAGCGTTTTTGATGAATTTTTCAAAATGTGCAAAGTTTATTTGTATTTGATTAGGCAGAAACTTCTTGAAAGCTGCCATATACACAATCAATTTAGTCATCCCCCACCCCTCTCCCATCAACACACACACACAAACACACCTTATTTGCCTGTTTTTGGAAATAGGCCTAGATGGCAAAGTTAAAATAAAACATCTTTTGTAAATGATAATTTTCAATTTGTTCTTGCACTATACATGTATCTGAACACCTGCATCACATTGGGCTTGCGTCACGTTCCCAACTTAAGTACTAGTTTTACCACTGGCATTATCATTTTAGATTTCACTGCACGTGCAGTAGGCTACTAGTGTGCATCATTGCATAGGCCTATATGTCAGTAGGAATTATTTCATTTTGTGCTTTAACTGGATTATATTTTATGAAGATGACAAGGCCTAATTAATGACAATCGGTAAGTACAAGTTTTGGTATAGATTTGGGTAAAATAGTCTGAAATGCAAACGGTTAGGTTCGAGTTTAAAGGAGCAAAGGTCCTCCGATGCTACAATAGACGAATTTCACATTCTGAAGAGTTATCCCCCGTTATCAACGTTACATTCAGTTACAAGATCCAGAGTTTTTTTTCTGGGAGGGAGGGGGGGGGGAGGGCCAGACCAGAATTTCCTGAGAAGCAAAAAAAAAAGAAGTTATGGTTGGGTCTGTTTTCTAGGGTGGAGGGACACTTAGGGCATTCAAAGTCATTTTTACTTCCTCCAGTATAATTATTATAGTCCTGCAAATTCCAGGGGGGGGGGGGGGGGGTTGAGGGGGCGATCTCCCAATCCACTTCCCTGTCCCTGTAATGACAAATGATCATGTGACTCCTAAATAGTAGGAAACTTTTTCCATTTGACTATACATAATTTTGTTACTTGTGTTATTATGTTATGTAAATTTAATGGTATAAATGTTATGAACCCCTGGAGGTCATCCCCACTCTCCTAATGAGCTGGAAATGTTCACAATATGACTGCATTAAATTAAATAAAAGTGCATCAATGATAAGATTACTTGACATTTTATTCATGAATTTGTGTCAACCTATCTTCCTAGAATTAGGAAATCATTCAGAGATGGACCACATTAAACTCTTTGTATAAACATTTTTTTTTAAATGTAAAAACAAGTAGTAGTTTGCATACATGAACAAACAGGGGTCTGGGAAGGGATGAGGGGAAGGATCGAGTTAATATTTCTTTACGCCTTAATGGTTGAAAACTCCTAAAATGAATGTTGACCTCAAATCTAATTTGTCCTCATTATTTTTCAAGTGGTGGTGTCTCCATATGAGTGAAAAATTCCTGAGAGGGATGTTTA